TTTTGCGCTGATGCGGCGTAATGATAAGGTTCATCATAACAAATGGACAAAAATGGCTGTATCTACATCTCAAAAACTGCTCTGAGTACAGACTAACTTGTGCAGTTGGATACGTTTTAAGGCCTGGCATCCACTAGATGTATAAAAGTTAAATGCATTTTGTGCTTTAAAAAGATAAAATCTTTTTTGGATTTTGATGGGCATGTTTTTGTTTGTTCCTGCAGAAGACGTAAAAAGAAACTAAGTTGGGTTAAAGCTTTGAGATACTCCCTCTCAGGTAACAACTGTTGTATAGTATTGATTTTCCTTGATTGACATGGACAAAAGAAGGACAATAGATATCCACACAACAATAGATGAGTTAAAGGGTGTAAATGAGTGGACAGTATCAAATGTAATTCAGGTGATTGTTTATTTTTACACCAACCACAGGAACGAAAAAAAATGCCCATCAAAATCCAAAAAAGATTTTATCTTTCTGATATACAAAATGCATTTGACTTTTATATATCTAGTGGATGCCAGGCCTTTAAAAAACGTTTCCAACTGCACAGGTAAGTCTGTATTCAGAGTAGTTTTTGAGGTGTAAGTTCAACCATATTTGTTTATTTGTTATGATGATCAATAACATGAATAATAATTACGGGTATTAAAGATTGTTTGTACTGCTTAATTAAACCGTGATAATATCAAAACAGCAAAAATACTGAATAAAATGAGACATATCATTTTGTACATATACCAAAGGGAAACGTCTTTCACAGAAATTATATTTATTGTCTAATTTCATTTAGTAGAAAATGTGGATTTTGTGTCATCTCAAGCCTAAATTTTTGCAGAAAATCCACAGACTTTATTACAGAGACTTTCGTTATGACATTTGAAACCTAGATTACTCACTAGTTCATCCATGGTGTGCTAGCGTTTGTTGTTTACAATCCTAAAAAACCTCTTGCAGAGTCATTAAAGACGAGCACACCCTGGCAGGTGTACTTAAGTTGGTCCATATTTGTACTCGTTTTAACTAATATCTTTATTTCAAGATTTCTTTTAGGGAGATCATTGCTAGCACTGCATTCATTAATCCACTTTCTATTTAGAACTAGTACATAATTTTCAAAAATAAGAGTACACGGGGAAAAGCTGTGGATTTTCTGTAAAATTTACATTCTTTAGCATTGAAACAACAAAAGGGTACAAAATCCTTAAGGAAAACTTCAAAGCTTATATTAACAAGAAAAAGTTACATGCAATGTGGAAAAATACCCATTTCTCGTAGAAAGGATGAGGACTTGGGTAGATTTCATTTGTTGAAAATCCTCAAAACTAGTTATGACCAGTATAAAGTTTTAAGGATTTAAAATACTACAAAAGAATGATTTGCCCCATAATTAAGGTATGAAATGGAAACACACACGATCAATGTAAAAAATGAGGTACAATGTACGTAACGAATTGGCTTGTACATACCGCGGGAATATATTTGCAGCATACGGTACAAACATGTATAGAAGAGGGTATGGAAAAGGGAAAAAGGGGGAGGGTTGTATTATTTAATATTTTATATGCAAGTCAAACTTTTATTTTCCAAATCAAACATGGAATAATACTTATTTTATCTATCTGCAAATGTACGAATACATTTTTATAAATTTAGAAGTAATTTTTCGGGACAAACATTCCAGTGTATAGTGCTTTCTTTTAGGTTTTATGATCACGTTGATTTATTACAGAACTGTGTTTTAACATTATTATGAAAAGCCTCTGATCAATGTAAAGTGCTCTCATTATGGTTTTATGATGCCTGATTTCTGATGAATATGTGTTATGCAACCAAAAACAGTTTCAAAGTCATTTTTAAAAGTCTCTTTTGAATAAATCTTGTTTTGATATTATTTACCTGCTGTAGTATAGGCGTAAATGAAATGTTTTATTTTAGGCGCAAATGAAATATGGTTTGTGGCGCAAATTAAAGATTTTTTGGCGCAAATGAAATGCAAATTGGCGCAAAAACAAAGCACACCACCCGATTTAAAGTTGATTATGATAAATCAACGTCTAATAATATCTATCTGTATATACATGTAGACAAAAGCTAATCAAGGTATAAACAGTGACTTACTAATGGTTTCTTTTAAACACAAGTTATTGCATATTTTTATTAGGTCTTTCCACTTTTCTGTGGAAAGACCTATTGTATTTGTTCTGATTATTATTTTTTTCTTCCGCCAAATTTTGTTCTCGCGTAAAATGTTTGTTTCGCAATATGTCGCTAAGATATTTCTTATATAGTATCATACAGTTTATGCGCTTTTTATTTTCACACATTCTAAGCCGAAAAATTTTCTTTGTAAGAGTTATCTCCCTATTTACTGTTTATCAAGTGTGTGCATCTCCTTCGTAACAAAAAAAGATATCGACAAAATTCTTTTTCTAAATTGTTCGTTACATCCTCAGAAATTTTTGACTAATTCGGATCGAAGCGATTCGATGAAATTTTATAGGAGTTATCTACCTTTACCAAATAAATTTGTCGGTATGTTTTTTTTTAACTCATAAACCGTTTACCGTATAACCATGGAATCTTTTTATTTGAGGTCCCTAGGTCCTAACTTAGAAAATGAGGTCAAGGTAAAGGTCAAGTTCTCAATTTTGACTTTTCCTTGTTTTAGCATTTTCTCCAACACTTTTAAAGATATATATGAAACACCAAGTGCAAAATGTTTGCTTTATTGTAATGAAGATATGTTACGTTTGGTCTGATACAATCTTATGGCATCTTATAGGAGTTAGTGCCCCTGAAATGTCTAATTATAAGGTTAATTGATTATTACTTCAGCTTGGTTCATTATAAAGCCATATGATCTTTTACAAAATGATAGGTGAAATATGACCTTGAAAAATGGCAAACGAAAGTGACCTTGAGAAAACCGGAAGTAGCTATTTTTGCACTTTTTTCATGGAAAAGTACTCGGAATCCATATATTTTGTAATATAGATACATAAACTTCTTACTCGAGACCAGAAGTGACTTTCGATCAACCGGAAGTGGCCAATTATCTCCTGTTTTACATACAAAAGTATATAGAAACTATATATTTTGGAATCAGTGTGAAAGAAGCTTTCTTATGAGACCGGAAATAACATTTACTTCACCGGGAGTAGCTCATTATCTCCATTATTTCACTCAAAAGTATATAGAAACCATTTATTTATCCCATCAGTATAAAGAAACTAATGATTGGATGCCAATTTTAACATTGAGTAAACCGGAACTAGATGCTTTTCAATAACTTTGAAAATTGATGTGGAAAGACCTTCAATTGTTTTCTGAACAATTGGTTTTTAGTTTTTTTTCTTCTTCCACCAAACCCTTTTCTTGCGGTATAAAGTTGTTTCACAAGATGTTGCTTAGATGTTTTGAATATGATATCGAACAGTTATTGCGCTCTTATATCTCTTTCAGGCGAAGACTTTTTTATTGTAAGAGTTATCTCCCCAAACACTGTTTTTCTTGTGAGTGTATCTCCTCCATAACCAAAAAAGATAACGACAAAATTCTTTTTCATATTTGTTCGTTACATCCTCAGAAATTTTTGGCTGATTTGGATCGAATCGATCAGGTGAAATTTTAAAGGAGTTATCTACCTTTATCAATTAAATTTGTCGTTATGTTTTTGTTACTCATAAACCGTAAACCGTATAAAACTATAGTCTTTTTATTTGAGGTCCTTCGGGCCTTACTTAGAAAATGAGGTCGTTATATATAAAAGAACTAGTGCAAATTGTTTGTTATATTGTGATGAAGATATGATATAATTGGTCTGAATCAATCCAGTGACATCTTATAGATGTTATTGCCCCTGAAATGTTTTATTTTAAGGTAAATTGATTATTTCTTCAGATTAGTACATGATAAAGCCATGAGATGTTTTGCAAAATGTTGGGTAACATATGAGCTTGAAAAATATCAACCGGAAGTGACCTTGAGTGAACCGGAAGTCGTAATTTATGCACTTATTTCATGTAAAAGTACATAGAAACCATATATTTTTTGAATGGTCATACATTAGCCTATCATTTGAGACCGGAAGTTACATTTTATAAACCTGAAGTAGCATATTATCTCCCTTTTTACAGGCAAAAGTATACATAAACCATATATTTTTGGAATCAGTGTAAATAAAGCTATCATATGAGACCGGAAGTGACATTTTCTAAACCGGAAGTTGTCAATTATCCCCCTTATTTCAGGTAAAAGTCTATAGAAACCAAGTGTTTATTGAATCGGTATGAAGAAACCTATGATTGGACGCCAATAGTAACTTTGAGTAAACAAGAAGTAGCTTCTTATCAATTATTTAGAAAATTGATGTGGAAAGACCTTCAATTGTTCTTTAAACAATTGGTTTTTAATTATCTTTTTTTTTCTTCTTTTTTATTATTTGTTCTTTCAGTACAAAATAAAGAATCTCCCATAGTTGTGTAAATACAGAAAATATACTGTGTATGCTTTGCTTTGTCAGCTAACTACATTTACTAAGGTCATGGCTTTTCCTGATTTTTTTTAGGAAACACAAGATTCAATCTTTCTGATCCAAATTTCAAATGTAACTGAAAAGTAATTGTCAATTGAAATTTTAGTCAATTTTGGCTATGTAATTCCTTATACTTTCAGTTACTTGTAATTGAAAAAAAGCTCAATTACACATTACATTCAATTACTTGAGAAATTGTAATTAATTACGGTCATTTACAATTACATATTTCAATTACCCCATGTCTGACGGCTGAGTCAGTTTGCACGGCTGAATGCATTCATTTTGTTAGTTGTTATTGAAGTGTAGTTATTAAGACCGTTAATGTCAGAAAGACAATGCCAACCATAACATCTACTTTCGTTTCTACTTCATTGTATATACATACAATATCGTAATGGTAACATTAAAAAATAACATTAATTGTTTATACATATGCTAATGTAAAAAAAAAGTGTTTACCTTATATGTATTCAAGTTTCACCATAGAGGTAAACTTAAATCGATGCTTAAATAATGAATAACTACTACACATATTACGTACAGTGAATTGTAGGTGTCATTTTTACAGAACAATCACATGACCGATCAATAGTTCAAAAATAGATCACAGATAGTTATAATACAAATCAAAATAGTATTGAATATTTAAAAAAAAGTAAAAGGCTTTTATAGGTAAAGAAAGGCAGAAAAAAGTGCATTGGATTACCTTGTGATAATGCAACTTTTATAACCAGGATCACTGTCTTTGATGAATAACAGTTGCGGATCCAAAAGGGGGTGTCAAGGGGTTGAACCCACCCTTTTTTGACGATCAATGCTTTTGATTGGGGACATATGGTTGGAGCCTCCCTTTCATCTGGGGTTGGAACCCCCTTTTGAAAATTGGATGGATCCGCCCCGGAATAATTAGTATTGATGGTAATTTGTTGAACGTCCAGTGGTAAATATTTCATGCCTGTTCAGGCTGAAAACAAATTTCTCAATTATTAAATATCAAATAGTTAGGTACATGTCACTTGGAACATATACTGCAAAGTGTGTCGAGCGGAGTTGGGTATGGGAGATGTTGACTGAACTTGATAAAAGGAAAGTTTGATATATAGGGTCTGAATTGTTGCCTTGCACCAGGGCACCTATGTATCCATAAACGACCTTTTAATTTTTAACGTGCCACTTTCTCAACACAGCGGTATTGGATTTAACGTCACCATTACAACCGGACGCGGCTTCGTAGTACATCTCATATGTCTTACGGACATTTACCCTTCCCCAAAGCATGGCCACCAGGCCCTTTTTGAAGAAAGTACTCCGGTCTTTACTAAAAATTTAGGGAAATACGATTTGAGAATAGTCAACATCTTACAACATTTTTGCGATAAATTTTACTATAAATTGGTCAAAACTGCAGATTTAACGGATTTTGTGTATTTTTTAATACAATGAATGAGAATGAAAATTGAAAGATGTGGGTATACATGTAGGCCATTGAGACAAGATCCAAAGACAGAATTTATCTGGAGGTCAACATACAATTTTAACCAATAGTTACGTGTCTAATATACAACAGGCCAAGGTCTAAATTGCCTAGTCTGGATAACTCCTTGTAACATACGGGTATCTGAGACACTCTTGTTGTTAGGCTGGTTCTCTCTCTTGTATCATACGGGTATCTGAGATACCCTCCTTGTTAGGCCAGTTCCCTACCGTGTAACATACGAGTATCTGAGACATACTGGTTGTTAGGCTAGTTCTCACCATTGAAACATTCGGGTATCTGAGACGCCCTTGTTGTTAGGCTGGTTCTCTACCTTGTAACATACGGGTATCTGAGACAACCTTGTTGTTAGGCTGGTTCTCTACCTTGTAACATACGGGTATCTGAGACAACCTTGTTGTTAGGCTGGTTCTCTACCTTGTAACATACGGGTATCTGAGACAACCTTGTTGTTAGGCTGGTTCTCTACCTTGTAACATACGGGTATCTGAGACAACCTTGTTGTTAGGCTGGTTTTCTCCCCTTCAACATACGGATATCTGAGCCAAATAGATAAAGGACAGGGAACCAGTCTATAAAATGCCCTAGTCGGAAAAAATTGTGAATACATACATGTAATACCAACAATCAGAGATCCCCAAACTATCAACACTAAAATCCTCAAACAACCCCTCCCCCTAAAAATGTCTAATTATAAGGTTAATTGATTATTACTTCAGCTTGGTTCATTATAAAGCCATATGATCTTTTACAAAATGATAGGTGAAATATGACCTTGAAAAATGGCAAACGAAAGTGACCTTGAGAAAACCGGAAGTAGCTATTTTTGCACTTTTTTCATGGAAAAGTACTCGGAATCCATATATTTTGTAATATAGATACATAAACTTCTTACTCGAGACCAGAAGTGACTTTCGATCAACCGGAAGTGGCCAATTATCTCCTGTTTTACATACAAAAGTATATAGAAACTATATATTTTGGAATCAGTGTGAAAGAAGCTTTCTTATGAGACCGGAAATAACATTTACTTCACCGGGAGTAGCTCATTATCTCTCAAACAACCCCTCCCCCTAAAAAAAAAGATGAGAGAAGACTATTCCACTGACGATGGACCCGACATTGAACATGCATATAATCATTCGGCGGGCTTAATCTATTTTTTTTATAGATTAAAAACTTAAAGGGTCATTAGCTGTCAAATTCATGTTCACCTATTTGACTCAAATTCTCATATTTGATTTATAACCTACTAAAACGTATATGCAACTTACAAAAAGTCTAAAATGAACAATTAACAATGCATGGACTCGATGATATGTATCCGTACTTCGTGTGTATTTTAGTCTAGACGCCATCTAATTAACAATCGATGTGACCTCCTAAGACTTCCGACAGTCATATAACCCGATATAAACATAAATATAAACTAGAAAAAACCCGCGCGAGCGCGGCTTGAAGACTACTTGAAATTTTTATAGGTTCGTGTTTCTCAACTGTTTTTAAATGTTTTTATGCACTGATGCATTATGTTGATAGTTTTGATTAGTTTGTCAATTCTTCTTCCATATGAGTTTGAATGTCCAATTAGTAGCTTCTGTCTCACACCGGTGTTACACAGGTGCTCCTAGAACAGTGGAAACAACTCAGAGAAGAAGAAGACAACCTAGAACACTGATATTAAAAAATTTCTCAGTGGTGCTAGTTTGTAGTATTTCTTTTTTTTCGAAAGGTGCGAGTGAGGTTCTATCTTTATGGAATACAGGTGCTCCAAGAACGGAGGAAATAACTAAGAGAAGACACTCTAGAACTCTCTGATGATTTAAAACATTTCTTCAGTGGTGCGAGTTTGTAGTATTTTTTTTCGAGTGGTGCAAGTTCTGTCTTTGTGTGACACGGGTGCTCCGAGAAAGGAGGAATTTACTAAGAGAAGAAGAAAACAATCTTAATATGATTAAACACATTTCTTCGAGTTTGATAAAGTGATGCAAGTAATTAGTGAGAGTGTTTGAGTGGTGCCAGTTGGCCGTGGGCCGAGTTGTCATAAATTCAAGGCAAATTGAATACAAAACCATTTCCGCCTGCTTACAAAACGTAGACGGTAAAAACAGATAATGCACTTTTGTAAACATTGTATAGGAACATTGTTTAGCAAAACAAATCGTGCATAATTCAGATTAACAAAGCAAGTTAACACGTATTAATAATTGATATTTCAATATTGAATTTCAGTGTGCAATATATGCATAATAAAACGAACATGAATCAAAGACAGTTGATCGGAACTGAAATACCAACACATAGTTAATTTTCCGGCATTTGATGTCTTATCCTGAGACGAAAAAAGTGAGTAATTCTTTATCTCATTTAAGTCAACAGCTGTTGCTGAGGGAAAACGGTAGTATTTATTCTTCCATAGGCGAAAATACTAACATTTTCTAAATTTACCACTTTTTATAATAAAAACCTGGACAAAAAAGTTATGTGTGGTGGGTATTAGTACTTTATCATTCTGTTTTAAAAATTGAAGTCAAATAGTATCATGACCATCTTCCAACGGAGCTTGTTTATTTTATCCATGCCCACCGTCATTTTAAACCAAATTTATAAAATTGTGGAAGTATTTTCGAATAATTCTCAACAAAATATTTTAATGGGTTTCAAAATTTATATTGTAAATATAGTTTTACACACTGCAGTTATTCATAGATAACTAAAAAAAATATATTGTATTACATCCAATTACAGCGCTCCTAAGTTGACTTCCTTAACCTGCCTTGGGTACACAAAAGGCCAACCTAATGCTGGGAAAATGTTATACTACTTTTTTCCCTGTATCTCAGCCGCAATATTTTGAACAATAAGTTGACTCGTTATTTGATTATTTAACGTGTTAAGCACTAAACTACAAAAAATCGTCTTTCTGAAGTAAACATGCAGAATCGTACTATCTTTCGGTAAAATTAATTAATTATTTTGGTTCCAAATGACCGTACTAGAGTAGATTCACTTAAAACTTACATAAGAAATAAGATAACAAATGTTTGCGTTAATTCGTAAATTTTTGTGTTATAACGCAAAGGTTTGCGTATAACGCAAACATAGGAAGAAATATTAAAACAAAAAAATTGTGTGGCGCTAATACGCTTCCGTAGAAACACACAAATCAAATTAAAAAGTATAAAATATTATTGTAGCAAATCAACTTCAGTCAAACACAATCAATTACAGATCCAGGTCTATACTATACGCGATCTACAAAAGCAACTTTGAATAAATGCGTCTAGATAAATAGCTCAAGGCTATTCTACTTAGTCCCGGCTGCCACATCACAAAGTACTCAAACTCGGATAAGAAATCGTGTCGTCCTTCACACTAGATTTCCTAAAGCAACGTTATACACGGGTATTTAGCACCTTTGAACAAGGGTAAAATTTGTCATTTCCCACATTTTATGTCAAAGAAAACACTATGCTGAACATTTTTTTTATTCCGGAAACTATAAACTTATATGCCAATAGTAAAATCAGGACTTGTTCCTCAGACGCAAATCATTCTTTAATTGTTAAAATTATCTACAACATATATCGTGTAAATATAAGAGTATAAAAATAAAACAAGTATGATTTTCCGATATAAGGGACGACTATTTGTTTTTCGGAAGGGGTAGGATATTTTTTTGTATTCACTATTTTTTTCTGTTCTTACCAAAGTCCTCTAACCAGAAAATAAAATGGTCGTCCCTTATCATATCAATGTTAGAATAAATTGAATTCCGCTGTAACCGTTTGTCTTGACTTTTTATCAACTGCCTTCACTTCTAATTCAGTATTCCCTATAACAAATGACACTTTCACATCCCTCTCTTCCTGGCAGACGTCAGGAAAAGTTATGATTACTGATCCCAACGGCTTACAGTCCGTTTCATCTATGTAAACAGGTTTTTCATTGGATGAAAAATACAATTCAAATTCCATTGTTTTCTGATTCGGGTCTATTGTTAGATATTCGCTATCAATGGATGTACCGGCATCAACAAGTTGGTTTTTTCTGATAATGAC